TGTCCTTTCTACACCTGCTGCCTGGGGTGTCCTTTCTACACCTGCTGCCTGGGGTGTCCTTTCTACACCTGCTGCCTGGGGTGTCCTTTCTACACCTGTTTCCTGGGGTGTCCTTTCTGCACCTGCTCCCTGGGATGTCCTTTCTAATAGAATACTTTTCTTTTTTTTTTAGCCAGTACCAGTCTATGGCCTGTTAGGAACTGGGCCTCACAGCAGCAGGTGTGTTAGTGAGCATTTTACCACCTGACCTCTGCCTCCTGTCAGATGAGCAGAAGTATTAGATTCTCCTAGGAGCAGGAACCCTATTGTGAACTGCACTTGTGAGGGATCTGGGTTGCACACTCCTTTTGAGAACCTAATGCCTGAGGATCTCTCACTGTCTCCCATGCCCCCAGACGGGACCGTCTAGCTGCAGGAAAACAAACTCAGGGACCTCACTGACTCTGCTTGGTGGGTTGCATAATTATTTCATTATAGATTGCAATGTAATAATAATAGAAATAAAGTGCACAATAAATGTAACGTGCTTGAATCATCCCCAAACTATCCCCCTGATCCTGTCCATGGAAAAACTGTCATCCACAAAATCCAGTCGCTGGTACCATAAAGGTTGGGACGGCTGCTGTGGGGGATGCTGACTTCATTTCCAGTCCCCAGAGTGGGTGCTGGTTTGCAGAAGCCAACCAGCCAACAGCGTTCCCTTGACAAGAAGCCAATCAGCCAACGGCGTTCCCTTGACGAGGAGCCAGTCAGCCGACGGCGTTCCCTTGACGAGTACTTTGGTCTGACAGTCTCACGACCTAGGCTGGCACAGCCAGGCTGACGGGGACGTCCTCAGTGGGTTATGGAGCCCATTTTCTGCCTCCCCTGAACACCGACATGAATGCTTGTTGCTTCCGCAGGCATCTTATGACCGGGAGCGGAGCCACGCCAAGGCACAATCTAGATCTCAAAGCTCAGCAAGGTGGAGTATGGAAACCTTGTTATGGAAAATAACAGTAAAATTCGGTATTGTTTACGGTTGGGTGAGTCAAGAACTTTCTCTTACTTGTAGCCAAAGGCATCCTATCTGATAGATATTTTATACTTTGTGTTTTTGTGTTGCTATTAGGAAAGATATACATTTTTTATTTTAAATTCTAACAGGACATTGCTGGTATAAACACAAATTTAGATAAATCGACATAAAATGTACAAAAGTCTTGTAAACTGCAGAACAACATGCATATGTGATGACTTTTGAATAAAAAGGAAAAAAATACTTGAATATGTGTGAAAACAGTTTGAAGATTATATAACATAATATTGGCATTTGTACCTCAGCTTGGGAGGCAGGGATGGGGAGGTTGGAACATGGAAGGGCTGTTATTCTCTTACACATGTCTGTGACACTGAATTCTGGAAAACTTTGAACAATATTTGTAATGTAGATATTATTTAAGAGAGTAACAATGTTGTTAAGGCGGTCAAGGACATGCACCAAGCTACTACCCTGATGATGGAGAACTTTTCTGTAAAATATACTGACCTCACATAGGCACATTAAGAAACGACTGTGAAGAAATGTCATGAGTTTAGATTCAGAGCTTGTGAAGGGTGCAGGGCTTTCCTTTCAGAAATCCTTTTAGAGAAGGAATGAACACGCTGACCGATGCGGGAAAAGTGTTACAATTAGTAAAGAAAAATCAACGCGATCAACACTGTACATATGTAATTCTTCTGGGGATTTAAAATTGTGAGCCGGGTTGGAATACAATCAAAGTCAGGAAATAGTAGAAAAAACTAGCAAAGCAAGCGACACAGAGATAGAAGGTGAAGAAAAGAAATCCATCAGTGCTACTGAATCAAGAAGAACACATTTACAGAGTCTGAAATATGCCAGGGACTGTTCTAGGCACCTTCACACTATTTCGTCTCTGTCACACGCGAGGCTGAGTGTTTCAGCAGAAAGAACGCGACTCTCAAGACAGCAGTTCTTGAAATCTTGCATAGATTCTGCCATTGTGGTTTAGTCTCTAGGTGACTGTGAAAAAGTCACATAGCCCTTCTGAACTTTCATTTACCATTTGTAAAATAAAAGGGAAAAGAAAAGAACTGCATATTAGACAAGTTAAAAAAGTTAAATGATGTACACGCAATGCATCCAGCCTAGTATAGAGTATTAGGCATTTGACCTCATTCACAGATATTACTAAATGTAATATAATTTTATAAGTACTCCACGATGAGTTATAATACTTAATTTACAGTTTGTGTAATGGAGTTTTGGAGAACTATTTTCTCTAATTCATGAAGAGTGAGCGGGTCCATCTAATTTCGAAATGCTTTGTTCTTCCTCTCCAGGACACCATGGGCAGATGTGATAGGAGTCAGGTCACTATGTGGGGTGGAGCCCAAGAAATGCCTGCAGGGGGAATTCCTAAAACAGGGGTCCTGAGTGAGGGGTAAACTGGGAATCCAATGCCCTCAGAGGTCCTGCATGACCTTGTCACCCTGCACAAGGAAGCATCCCCCAGGCTTCTTTGGGGGCATCCACTTTGCTGAGCTGTGAAGATCCAGCAAGTCAGTCATGGGCAGCATGGCACAGCCCCAGCAGTTCTTCCCAACAATGGTCATCACGGCCCCCACAGCCCCCCGTACCCAGTCCTGCAGAAATGTGGATGGATGTCCATGCCCACTTACAGTCTCTGCAGGTGTGCCCGCTTAACACCCTCATGGCCTCCACCCCCATGAAAAGTCTTCATTATCTCAATCCTGGATTATTGAAAACGTTTCCTCTAAAATCCACCTGGGCACACTGCTGCCTGCTGAGTCCTAGCCCAAATCTTAGATCTTTCATTCTGCCAAATCAAGCATTAGCCTAATTTTTCAATGCTCCCCATTGGGAATGCCTTCTCTTCTCCACCTGTCCAAGATACCAATGATTTTTAAAAGACACTAACCACTTCCTCTAGGAAAGATGTCCTGACTATTAAAGTCCAACCCCAGCTCTGACCTCACTCCCACCCTACCCCGCACCTTTTTTTTTTGAGACAGGGTCTCACTCCGTGGCCCAGGCTGGACTGCAGTGGTGCCATCATAGCTCACTGTAGCCTCGAACTCTTGGACTCCAGAGATCCTCCCCACTAAGCCTCCTGAGTAGCTGGAACTGCAGGCACGAGCTACCATGCCTGGCTAATATTTTATTATTATTTTTTGGAGAGACAGGGCTTCTAGGTTTCTTGGGCTTGGTTGCCCAGACTGGTCTCTAATTCTGAGGCTCAAGGGATCCTCTTGCCTTAGCCTCCTGAAGGGCTAGGATTACAGGCATGAACCACAGTGCCCAGCCTTCACCCCCTTTAGTGGAATAAGGACAGTACTGAACAAAAGGAAGGACTATTCATAAAGAAGTTCTATTTTTTAGGAATCCTAAGTAAACTTTCACCTTCTAGAATGCTTCAGACATTCATTTCACAACATCTAGCTACTAGATGAAATTACTAACCTTTCACCCTTCCTCCAACACTGTAATTCTATGATTGCTGTTATTCAGGATATCTTCTCCTGTAACCTGTCACCTGCCCACAGATGAGTCTGAATGGCCACCGTGACTCTGCTCAGCCAGGCACAGGCCCTGGCGCACTAGAGGACATGGGGCAGTCCCTGCACACACATGTGAATGGAGAATTCTCTCTACTTCTCTGGTATTTACGTTGAAAGCAAAATGATTACCGCTATCATCTAAAGAAAACAAGCAGAAAGTTCACCTTGTCCCAGAAATGCTCTTTCACTTTGCCTTTTAATGACTTGAGCTTTCAGTACTGACAGTTTCTAAGTGGTTAAATGCCACTATACATTTCAGTAAGTCCCTGAGATGAGGAATCCTATGTTTAGTAATTTTCTTTCCAGTATATAATGTTCTATAATGGTTAATGAATTGGATGCTTCAAATATAAAGGTTATTTTAAGCATCAGGAATCAACCATAATTCCAATTTAGGATGCCCAATTTGAGGGGAAAATCACAGTGGCCTGGGATAAATGAGAATAAATGTTGGCATCGGTTTCTATGAACATCTGGGTGTGACTTCATTCTGTGAACGAACAGATCTCCGTGTGCATTAGTACAGGGATGCTTTGTGCTCTGTGATGGCACGCCAAGGAGCCTTGATACATTTTGACACACTGAATGAAAGATAAATAACACAGAATATTTTCACATTCAAAGTATATATACATATATATGTATATTTAAATGAAGTAGCCATCTTTGGTTACTAAGTTCACACTCAGCATTCTCTGTGCTCAGCCAGGCGGGAGCCCTGGACTTTGGCGTGAAGTCAGAGCTCCTCTGTGATGCACTGCGTCATTTATCTCCTGTTCCTGTCACTCTTCATTCCTGCAGCGTGCATCCTCCCTGAAGGTTCATCCCACTATTTAGGATAATGAGGATCATAATGCATTCTTCCTTATCCCTTCACATGATATACATTCAAATTTGTGATTGATGTATTTGCTGTTGTCAGGAAGAGCAAAGCAATTCAGACACACAACCTATTTTATATGCACCTTTGGACCATTAAGTTTGAGAGGAAGAACCATTAAAGTGCCTTAAAATATTACAAACATCCAAGTAACAGCACGACATGTTACACTCATTTGTAAGGTAGGTGTTGTCTCCTGGAGCACAGGCTAAAGTGTCATCACTCATCAGGAATCTGAGCACCATGTCAGTGCAGTCCCTGCCTGGAAAGGAATGCACCACCTTTCCTCACATTCAGTGTAGACACACAGACACAAAATCCTCTCCTTCCCGTCCCTTTCACCTTCCACTACCGCTCATATTATCCATGGAGCGCATGACTCCGTGTGAACGATCATTTCCACACAGTGGCTCAGGTGAAAAATTCCCACCTTCTGAAGATTCCTCTTTTCCCCCAATAAATTACTACGTATACCGCAATGCTATGTCTCAGACACCCGAGCAGGTGTAGGTGAGAAGAGTGTGAGTTGCTCACTTACCCCGGTTCTCTGAACTTCCATGAACGTGGCTCTTTGAAGGACTTCTCCCACACGGCCAGCTCGCTGCCGAAGCTCCACGTTGAGAAACATGGCTCTTCCCGGTGGCGGCGCATGACTGCTGCAGCAATGAGAGGCTCTGGTCCTCACAGTAAAAATCTGAAACCCCAGCAACAAGTTTGTTGCAACCAGCCAGTCCTCTGCGAGCAGGAGAACTGGAAAGCAACAGAGCATGATTGGAAAGCGTGCGCGCGTCGGGTGCGGATTCCGCTGAGGCCCTGCGAGGAGAAGCAGGCTGCGTGAGCTGGGAGAAGCGTGTGGCGGGTGGCGGAGCAGAGAGAGGCAAATGTTGGAGCAGATGAGCCGCTGCTCGCGAGCAGTGTCCACAGAGCGAAATATGCTGTAGATGAAAGTGTGAGAGTGGTGAAAGCGCGCGGAGTTGCGTGTGGTAAGTGCCTGTGCCGTAGAGAGTGACTGTGGGTCACCACGCACTTCCTTGTATTATACTGTGAAGAGAAAGATGAGGGCCTGGGTGTGCGGGCTCACGCCTGAAAGTCCCAGCACTTTTTGGGGGCTGAAGGGTGGGTGGGATTGCTAGCCAGAGTCTGACCGAGCGCGTGGACGTGCGAGAGAGACGTGGTGTGCGTGTAGAGAAAGAGTGAAGCATGAATGCAAGTTACAAGATTACAACAGGATTGTGAGCAGGGGTGGCGAGCAGTGTGAGAGTGTCTAGCTATTTGGAGGCGTTGAGGGGGTGGTGGAGTGCGTTTGAGGCCGCGAGAGAGCCTGAGTTACAAGGAAGAGGCGGAGAGGTATCACGCCACTGAACTCCAGGGCATGAGAAGTGAAGAGGAAATCTGGTCTCAAAAAAAAAAAGGAAAAGAAAAAAGGGCGCTGCGGGGCGGGTTGGCTCGCGAGGCGGGGTGTTTTGATGATTTGTTACTAATCTCAGCACTTTGGGAGGGCCGAGACGCTCGCGCATCGACGAGTCAGGGAGATCAAGACGCATCTGCTTGGGTAAACGCGGGTGAACCCACGTCTCTTAGTAAAAAATACAAAAAGAGCCGCGAGACGGGCGGGCGGCCTTGTGGTCCCCGCTACTCGAGGAGGCTGAGCAGGAGGATTGGCCCTGAACCGGGAGGCGAGCTTGCAGTGAGCTGAGGATCCGCCACTGCATCCAGCCTTGGGGCTCGGGCGGATCAGAGCAAGACTCCGTTTGCAAAAAAAAAAAAAAGATAAAGATGAAAGTCTTGAGACATTGATGCTTGTGTTTATCATAAAACCAAAACACACTGGAACCACCACCACTCTCACTAAGCGCGTCCCCTGCGCCTCCGAGTCTCTACAGAATTACTGGCGCCTCCTCTCCCCGCGGGTTCATTGTCCTGAGATTAAGGACCAAGTGCCCAGAACGCCCCTGAAGCACGACCAGGCACCCGACCACCCAGGCGCTCATTCCACCAACCCAAAGGCCTGACAAAGGGAATGATGTTGTTCCATTTCTGGTCAATCATTTAACCTGGAGATGTAAGTTACCTACAGCACGTCCATTAATCACAGGTTTTACTCTGTGGCCACCAAGGCGACTCCGATGCTGCCAGCCTGTGCTGCACGGAGCCGCCTGGAGCGCTCCCCACTTCTTTCCCCCATCTGCAAGGTTGCACCCCACTTTGAGATTCATTTTCTCAAGGGCAGGAGAGAAAGACTGGGGGTTCCAGTTGTCACAGTTACTAGGTCAACAGCATGGAGGTGCGTGGTGAACGCATACTCAATACCTGGCTGGCACCTCTCTGTCTCTGTCTGTCTGTCTCTCTTTCTGTCTCCATTTCTCTCTCTGTCTGTGTCTCTCTTTGGTCTCTCTCTTTCTCTCTCTCCATTTCTGTCTTTCTGTTATCTCTTTCTATTTTATGTCTGTTTCTCTGTCTCTCTCTATCCCTCTGTCTCTGTCTGTCTGTCTCTGGACCCATCTCAGTTCTTAGCACACCCATTCATTTACTGGCCATCAGATCCACCCTGAAGAACCCCCACCAGACACCTTCCTGGGACGCCGCACCCCAACATCAATTTCGCTGCACCAGTCTCTCCCCAGTGAAGGGAACAAGGGGAGACACCTGGGCTGGGGTTTCCAAAGTCCTGAATGAGAACGTGGTGTTTACCCACAGCCCTGCATATGGCAGCAGAAAGGAAGGGGAGTTGCCCACCTGCTGGGTCTTCCCATCATGATTCTGAGATATCTCCATTCACTTGTGCCAACCAGCTAAGCTGGACACTCCCCACTCACACTTATGCTCAAGGTCCAGTCCCAAAATCCACATGAACTCAGCAGTTGGCCAAATAGCTTTACTTCAAATACGCTGACACATGCACTCCAGGCACAGGTTTGAGGTAAAAGCTATAACTGGTGTGTCTCAGGTGGGCCTCCTGGCCTCTCCGGGGGGATGCCCTGGCTCTCCTGGCCCCTCAGACAGCTCTGCAGGATGACCCTCTGGTCATGGAGAACATTGCACATTTATCCCTGTGCATCATCCAGATATCCAGATACCAAATGCCTTGTGGTACATGCATGTGAAAACATGTGTGCATGTATGTGTGCACATGAGAATGTGTGTATGCACACACGAACATGTGTACATGTGGAAATGTATGTGCACATGAATGTGTGTGTGCGTGAATGGGTGTGGTATGCATACGTTGCTAACCCTAAATGAGCCTTGAGTACAGAAACTGCACTTTAATTCCGGGGCCCCCTGGATCCTCTCCTTCAGCTGGGATACCTGGAACCTACAGGGTTACACGTCACAAACCACGAACACCATGTTCATCATTGACCTTATGGTGCAGAACGTATCTCTTTATTCACTGAACTTAAATGTCAAAAAACTGATAAAGAAAAACTTTTGGAAGATATTTATGTGGAAACGCACATTCCCCACTGAATGGCTCATGATAGTTGGGCCTTGAACAATCCAGGAGTTAGGGGCGCCAACTCTCACGCAGTTGAAGATTCACACATAACTTTTGACTCCTCTAAAACTTAGCTACTAGTAGTCTATTGTTGATCAGGAGCTTTACTAGTAACATGAACAGTCAATTAACACATATTCTGCATGTTATACGTATAATATACTATGTTCTTAGAATAAAATATATTGTTGATCAGGAGCTTTACTAGTAACATGAACAGTCAATTAACACATATTCTGCATGTTATACGTATAATATACTATGTTCTTAGAATAAAATATATTGTTGATCAGGAGCTTTACTAGTAACATGAACAGTCTATTAACACATATTCTGCATGTTATACGTATAATATACTACGTTCTTAGAATAAAATAAGTGAAGCCAGGCACAGAGGTTTACACCTGTAATCACAACTGATTGGGAGGCTGAGGCGGGGGCGTCACGGGAGCCCAGGAATTTGAGACCAGCCTGGATGACATAGCAAGATCCTATCTCTAAATAAATAAATGAATTAAGCAAGTAAGCTAGAGAATAGAGGATGTTATTGAGAAAATCACAGGGAAGAGAAGATATACTTAGAGCACTGCACTGTATTTATTGACACCATAAGTTTACATCATCTGTTTATAAGATGAATGGTCTGAAATGGTGGCAACCACAGCTGCAGACCTCAATCTGTGGTGCACAGCAAAAATTTGGTAATGCTGTGACATTCCTGCTTCTTGGAGGCACTTGCATCATCCCTCGTGGCACTTGTGTGGGTCCTGGGGTGTTATTCAAGGTTTACGTTACTGGACTCAACACGAAGGAAGGAAGGTACACAAGAGCCCTGAGAGATCACTCGTTACCATGCTCTGCAATTTACTGGAGAGAGAAATTGCTTCCACAGGGATGATTAAGACATTTTACTCAGAAACCCAACACTTGAGCTCACTGCAACAGCAGCAGGAGGTGGCTACAAAAATTATCATCACAGTACACTATGTGCTACAGTTAACCATGGGCAGGAAAGATTTAACGCTGCGTCTTTACCTTTGTCTACGTTCCTCTCCACTGCAGATGGTGCCAAATAGATCGCTTTATATTTTACAGGAGTAAATGACGAAATAGACTAGTATCTACATATATTGTATGAATTCACGACATCTCTAACTTTTTCTTAATGTTTTGATATTTCTAAGCTACATGGTTTGTCTTAAGAGGTTTTTAAAATTGTTAAATTGTTTTCAAAAAATTTTCCAACATACTTATAGAAAACAATTGGCATCTAAGTGAGCCCATGCAGTTGAAGCTCATGTTGTTCAAAGGTCACTTGTGTTTCTTTCCTATCACTTGCTATATTTGGGCAGCTGTGTATCATAATAGAAGAACATCAGGTTTTGGAGTCAGATAAGATTTGAGGCCCTTCTTTGCCCAGTATTAGCTGTTTGACCTTGAGCGATTCACTCTCTCAGAGCCTCCACTTTTGAGCTGTGAAATGGAATCATGATAAAAATGTTGTCATAACTTCACATGACAGAGCGGCCGGCATGCAGGCTCACATCCCGGATTCACATGAGTTCACCACCTCTTTTCATAAAGAAACACGTCCTAAGGCAATGCCGAGCCAGGCCATACACGTCGATTTGATGTCTGCTTTGCATCTACCTGGCCTCCTGGCAGGGTCAGCTCGGGTGATATCCAGAACAGCATTTCCAGCCACCCCCACGACTGAAGAAAGCCCACCCCCCACCTAGGACTGCACGACATCATCTTATTATGTTCCCTTTCCTGAAGAAACAAAAAGGGTTGTATTTTAAAATTACATATTTTTTTCTATTTATATTTATTATGAAACAATTATAGCAACAATAAAGGGAATTTAAAACATAAATTTATTACTGTGTTTTGTCATCTGATTTTTAAAAATATGTCAATAATTACTAATATGCCCTTAATAATAGGACAATAATTATTAATATTCTCTTTCATACAATGTGAATTTGCATATATAATTGTATAAATTTATAATACAATTACTTAAAATATGTTATAAGATTTTAAAATATTTTTCAATGGTCTTTTGATGATTATTCAAATATCATTAATTTAAGGAATATCCTTAAATGTTCTCATGCATACAGCTCTCTGATTCCTCTGACCTCAGTATGGTAATGGACTCTTCTTTAGATTCAATTCTGAGGAGCATGACTGCTTGATCAAGCAAGGGATCGTTTTTCCACTGTTCAGCCTCACAAGAATGTGTTGTAAGTTCTACATAAGGAAAATTAATGACTCATATATAGCTCATTTCCCCGGATAGTTCCTGTAGCTCCTTTAAAAACAATCACTCAGCCCTTGTGGATTGCAGTGTGTTGATATGACTGGAAACCCTGAGCACTGAAGTCCAAGGTCAGCGGCTTGCCGTCAACAGTCAGTCAGCGACTGGCCAGGCCATCGGGTTTCCTCGCCTGGACTGAGCCTCCAGATTTCCTCTCCTGGACTGAGCCTCCAGATTTCCTCGCCTGGACTGAGCCTCCGGGTTTCCTCGCCTGGACTGAGCCTCCGGGTTTCCTCGCCTGGACTGAGCCTCCGGGTTTCCTCGTCTGGACTGAGCCATCGGGTTTCCTCGCCTGGACTGAGCCTCCGGGTTTCCTCGTCTAGACTGACACTTCCAGTTACCTATTCTGGACCGAGCCTTTGGTTTACCTTGTCTGGACTGAGCCTTCTGGTTACCTTGTCTGGACGGAACATTTGGGTTTCCTTGTCTGGACTGAGCCTTGGCCAGGCTTCTTCTTGCCTCTGGGACCTGGAACTCCCTATCCTTAGAGCATTTGCTTTAGAAAATGTATTATTGTATGTTCTTTCTCTGCCATTTGATACCTAAATCTTTCTAAAAGTCTCTTGCTGGCTGTACAACCCAGGACTGTCTTTCTCAAGGAGCTGAGAGCTGTCCCTTCAAAATGTGATCACTGGGAAGATGGCGTCAACTCCCGTCCCCGTGGAAGGATGGAGCCCAGCCTTGGTGGGCGCCTGGCTCTAAGCTGTGCAACCATCTCCTATCATGAAGATGGGAGCAGCTCTCTGTTTCTTTGCAGGAAGCCAATGAACAGACACTGATGGCCCCGATCTCCTTTCTAGCCCAACTTGTAGAAACCCTCTCATTCTTTGTTTCAGTGGAGTTGGGTTTAATCTCTCTCTCCTAGCATAATATACTTGAATAAGGCCTTCTTGCCTTCTTCGCCTTTAACTTTGGTGCAATTTTGTCCTGACATGGCTTTAGGAATTCTTCCTTTCAGCGTTGATATTATCCAAACAGGACTACCCTGAAGATCCCTGGAGAACGCGTTCTAGAACTCTTAATGCCCACTCGCGACAGACTCCCGGAACACCACTGCTTCTAGCACGTGGAATAGAGAGGGATTCAGGATGAGCTTTGTAGCCAGGTGAGTCTGGTCCCCATCCCTGCCTCTGCTTGGCTTCTGGAAGGTCCTCGTCCACTTCCTGCTTCTGAGTTCTTAGCTACAAAACAGAGTTCTCCTTAGGTGGGGAGAGAATTAACTCAGGGACATAGCCAAGTGCCTAGCAAGGCTACTAGGGAAGCACTCAATAAAGACAGCTGTCATTACTAAGATCCTCTGCCAAACAGATGACAACATGGACTTTTCCTGAAAATTTTGATGGGGTATCTTTAGGTTGAGAGGACAGACCCATGCATTTCACACAGGACGCTCCATAGCGTCCACAGTGCTTTTCTGCTGTGCTGCACGAAAGCTGTTTATCATTTCGCTCACGACTGCAATCAAGGCTGATTGGTGCAATTTTCTCATCTATTTCATGATGAGTGTTGAAATATAGAATATATAATTTTAAGAGCTGGGAAAAGTAATTTTTAGAGCGGAGAGGGTATCAGAGAAAAAATACAATCACAACTTCAGAATTTGATTTCTGGTCTAAATATTAATGAATATACTTTGAAATGGTAATTATGGTTATTTAAAGAATCTACATGAAAAAGTATTAGTTCTTATGATACTCACATATTTATTTACATTTCTGAAAATGAATTGAATGCGTTTACTTTTAAATTTATGTATGCTAAACGATAAACATCCGCAATTGAATGTGTGTAAAAGCAGGCAATACGATTTTGTAAGATCGCTATTTTAACACTTCCAAATAGGACATTCAATTCATGTAATTTAATCTCTTTTTTAAAAATATTGAATGCTATAGATTATTATTATTTAGGACGTCCTAAAACACATCTCTCCCCCAAAACACACACAAACACCACATACCACATACACACAGACACACCGTCATCCATTCATCCTGCCTGGATATCTGTTAAAACCCTTTGCTCTAGCCATTCTACTGGCTAATTTTCATGATTTCATAAACACTTCATATAATATTTATTGGTTAATTTTTTTTTTACAATCTTCCTGGGAAAATGAGATGGCTCCATAGCTTCCTAATGAACCACATATATAAGATACAATAATCTCTCAAAGACACCCCAGTACCTAAAGAACATCTCAGGTGCACGGAAGGGGAATCCTCCGAAACAAGAGGGGGAGGAAGTGAAAACGTGTCCATGCAAAGGAAACAAAAAGGCCAAGAATCCTTCTACGAATTCCTCTGTGGAACTGTGATCAATAAACGAGGGATCGTTTTTCCACTGTTCAGCCTCACAAGAATGTGTTGTAAGTTCTACATAAGGAAAATTAATGATAACTTTTTCTTAATGTTTTGATATTTCTAAGCTACATGGTTTGTCTTAAGAGGTTTTTAAAATTGTTAAATTGTTTTCAAAAAATTTTCCAACACATTTTTTAATGAATATGCCTAGCACAGAAATGTTCACTTTCTGATCAGTGATTGTTTATTACAACCTGTAATTAGGAGTCTTAATTTAAATACATCCAGCCCTTTCCTTCATCTCCTTCACTACCATATTCAACAAAAATAGGAACAATGCAGAAAAATGTTGCCCAAATAAATTTTTCAAAAATGGGAAATAAATGTATTTATCATTTGATAATATTATTATGGACATGTATTTCCCTTTTACACGTTTCCATTAAAGGCAGTCTGAAATTCCAGATTTAAATTTAAAACAAAGCAACTACAGATAGAGAATATTATTTTTGAGGACATTTTCAATTTAAGAAAACAAACCAAACTTTGAAAGACAAATCTTTATTCAAAACTTCTAACTTTAGACTGATAACTCTTTAAGGCCAAATTCTCACTGAGTCACATACTAGGACACGGTGGCACCCGGCCACGGTGAGCACATCGTCGCCTGGCTGTGGAGACACCTCTGCGGTCAGGTGGGTGGGGGCCTGGGTAGGGCCCTGCTGCATCTCCAGGCTCCGGGCAGCACCACCAGTGAGGTGTGTCTCCCGGAGGAAGGTTCAGTCCCTACCTACCCTAGGAACCATGAGCAGCAAACTGGCCAGACCCTGGGGCAAATTTGTATCTGACTTATTGAAAACAATTTCAATAGCAGCAGCAGCAACAGAATCTAAAGTTCTTGGAACAAATTATTGTAAGTGGACGTCCTAAAACACATCTCTCCCCCAAAACACACACAAACACCACATACCACATACACACAGACACACCGTCATCCATTCATCCTGCCTGGATGAGCAACAGGGTGACAGCTAGAACCCACGTACCGGGTGGGAATGGGGGATGGGTCCAGAGCGTCCATTCCAATTTTGCTATTTCAATGGACCATGCGGAACAAACAGTCCTCTCATTCTGCAAGCCCAAAGGGCATCTTACTGTATGAAAGCATCTAAAGTGCAAAAGATCCCTACCTTGTGAACTTTAAACAGCACCTCACAGAGGTGGTAGGTCCTTTCTGCTCGCACCCAGTCGAATGTGCTCACCTGCAAGAAACAGAAAACGTTCCATGAAAAGCAGCATGCTACTTTTAGTTGAAAATTTTAAAAATTTACAATAGTGTGACTGCATGTGTGTCTACCTCAATTAAATCCTAAGTCCCCATTAGTATAAATTGGTCACAATAAACTTTATGTACTGCTGAGTTTTGATGAGTCGCCACGTCCTCATCTCTGTCAGTTTGTGGCAAATATAATAGCTCCATTACTGACAGGAAAATGTCTATCTCCTTTATCTTATCTTAGATAGATAAGATTGATATCTATGATATCTTGTCTATCACACACAATTGGGCATAATTTTTGAAAATCATTTTGGATTCCTTTTAAATTAGGAATTTCAGGTAACATTTAATGCATGTGAAAGTGAATGAGTTTATATATTTACTGGCGCAGAAAAACGGACAGAAAATATTGCGTAGATGGTCTTTTGCTTTTTAGAAATAAACTTAGTTCTATTTCAGAAGTGAATGAAAAACTTACTAACCAATTTAATCAAATACATTTTTCATTGGTCTGACCTGTTGTAGTTCACAACTATTTTAATAATAATGACTAAACTAATCTCACTTTTGAATAATGCCTACAGTTTACAATTCAAGTTCAGATATATAAGCTCGAAGTTAAATTATTTCATGCAGAAAAATTTAAGATATTCAAGAGTGAGTGTAAAAAATTTGATGTTTTTTATTGTTGACCCTGCACTTTTTCCTTCAGCCAGCAAAAATAATCCAAAGTGCATTGAATTATGTCTTTGAAACTCTGAAATTGTCTTGGCTTTAATTAATTGGTGACTTTCTGGTAATCCTTGCACCAAACAAAATTCTCAAGACATTTTTAAAGTCATCACAAGTGAAATGTGAAAAATTACACAAATAGTTTGCCATTTAATATTTAATTGCCCTAGAGTCAGCTCATTGCAATTGTGATTTCGGCAATAAAACGGTAAGTAAAGGGAACAATTTGAAAGTGAGAATGGCCAATTAGAATACGAACTTTAAAGTTCCTTTTGGATCTAGTATTCAGGTCATAAGAGCTACATCTTGAATTTGCTAGAGAGAGTTTCAGGTGCTTATTTCAGAGTTTAAAAGCCAGAAACTCCAGCACCCCTTCTCTTGAGAGCTGGGGAGCCATGCTGATGGATGCCTGAAATAAAACATCACCCTGAATTCCACAGCAGTGCCCACTGGTTCCTCAACACTGCACCTGCCTCTCCCTTCCCTCTCCTGGTCCCACCCTGGCCAGTGTTTTATGCTACTGCCTAATGTCACAGCTCAGGTGCTGGTTCTATAACTGGAAAATACAGAATTATGGATCCACCATTTTTAACTTTCCCAGTTAGGACAATGCTGCTTATTTTTGGAGGCTGTAAATATAAAGAGGAAAAAAATCCCACTGAACACCCTATTCAGAGACATCTTCCCAAGTTTACTTGTTGCTGTAAATATACCTTATACATATTCATGGTTTTATACTTTTCAAAATATAGTTTGTAATATCAGCATTTTCCCGTGTCATTAAATGTTACTCAGAAATACAACTGTAACTACTGCTTAGAATTTCCGTGTGGAGTTACGGTTTTCGTAAGCTTTATCTTTGTGACGGACATTGTAGATTGCTTTTAGGTTTCACCATTGTCACGGTGCTGTGATTAATATACGTGGTCACTGTATTAGATTATGTCACATTGAATGTATTTTCCATACTAGTCTGTTATCAACATGTGGCAGAACAGCAGGGATCTGAGTCCTGTTCTAAGACAAAGCTGGAGGAGGCTGTGCCCTTTGCTGTCCGCAGAAGGCAGGTCTAGTCTCTCCCTCCTTCCGCCACATCCATCATCCATTTATTAAGCCCCTTTCTGTTCCTCCCTGTGGCGTCTGCTGTTCTTGCCGTAGTCCTGCCTTCCTCCTACTCTTTTACTCCTCCTGCCAGTGGCCGTGTCTCCCCCGGGGAACCCTTCTCCGCTCCCAGAGCTATGACCTTGCCCCAGCCCAGGGAGGCGAGGCGCAGTCCACACACAATTCAGGCCAGAATTCTCACCGTCTTCGCCACCATGATTGATTCGGGGAAGAGAATGTGCCTCGATCGGAGACACAGGTAAGAAGGTGCTTGGGCTTCCGATGGAACCATTTCTATTGTGGGCTTGAAGAAAATGCTGCCACCCTGAGAGCCGTGGGAAGTCCCCTTGAGCCACGTGGATGTTATGCGTGTGGAAGTATCTACACTAGCTCCTGGCTGTGATAACGCACCACAGGACAAAAGTGTTAGGAACAGGGGAAGAGGGGGAAGTGGGGGAGGTGAGGGGCACAGGCTACTCTTCACCTTCCACTCAGTTTTCTGTAAATCTAAAATCGTCCACAAAACAAGTCTATTGATTTAAAAAAAAAAAAAAAAAAGCAGGTCTTTCTCATCATTGTTCTTTCCCTGCTTACCCGAACCTCATGGCTTCTTGAGGACTCAGCTCAGACCCAGCCCTGAGGCCTTTCCTGACAGCCCTGGCAGGTCTCCCTCCCCTCTTCCAAGTCCCAGCGGCCCTGCCATCCGCTCCGCCCTGCTGACCCGCAGCCGAGGTGCCTTCACGTGTGTGATCCTTTCTGCAGGGCACCCTCAGCCCGGCTCCAGCCTTCCACAGATATCCTTCCTCTCCCTACGTGGCTGTGACGTGAACACTTCTCTAATTCAGTGAAAGTGCAGGCACCAGGTTCCTCTGAGTTTCCACCAGAAAAAAATTATCACCAAAAAATTCATCATGTCCTTTAGGGCTCTTCTCACTTTTTATTTCACTAGTTGTAGCTCTAGAAAATATCTAGGCTACAACAATTCAATGCTGAACATGACCATGTAACAGAAGGGGATTATTTCAGATAAAACCATTTCCAAGGTATCCAAGAAGAGCATCTCGTGCGTTGGTTAAGGTTCTGCGTAGCTTGTAGTTCAGATAGGAGGTAGGCTGCTGCAACAGACGTGAAAAAACTTGGCTAAATTGAGCTTAATGTTAGGAAAGCTAGTAAAAGCCCTCTCTGTACACGTATACAAATGTGTGTGCATGCGTGTGTGTGTATACAGTCATGCACACATCACAACACTTCAGTCAACAGTGGACTGCATGGACCACGGTGGCCCCATAGGTTCTAATGGAGCATATACAGAAACCCGGTGGATGGAACTTGATACTGGCCTTGCAGATCGACTAGAGGAAGGGAGTCATAGTCAGTAATGGTGCTGGAGCATTTGGTTTTCTATATGTAAACATACATAAATAAAAATATACAGATCATCCAGGTTTCTGTAAGTACACCCTATGATGTTTGCACAATGACAAAATTGCCCAACTGTGCATTTTCTGGAATATATACCTGTCCTTAAGCAATGCGTGGCTATACATACATACATGTATTAATACATGTAGAGAGATATATATATAGCTTCTCGAAAAATCCCGAAATCCAGACTCCACGCCACGGCGCCCAGAAATCCGGACTCCACGCCGCGGCTTCCCGAAATCCAGACTCCATGCCACGGTGCCCTGAAATCCAGACTCCACACCATGCCTTCCTGAAATCCAGACTCCGCGCCACAGCTTCCCGAAATCCAGGGCTCCCTACCGCAGTCACCAGGGCTTATTTTACACGATTTTCCAGGACCATGCCTCTTATGTTGAAAGAGGGAAACCCTCTGCTGAGAGGGACCCTCGCAGTGTGGGCCTCTCTGAGGCTGTTTATCAGCCGATTTTCTCTGGGGAGTGAGTTTGCATGTCAGGAGAGAGATCCACTGGCTCTGCCATCGCACTTCTTCCTCAGAGCAGGGACTTAACACCAGGGCAAGGAAACATGAGGTATGCGGATGCCTGGATTTCTCCAGACTCACACGGAACAAGAGACATAACCAAGCTTTGTGAGACGGTAGACAAGGCGGCTGGTTTTGTAACTACATATCATCACTACGTTTTTCCAAATAATGGCAATTGATAATTTTCTAAGTATCTGGCCCCATTTGGCTTCAAATGGAGCAGAAATTGTAGATTACAAGATGCTATATCTTGGTACCTTTGACTATTATTTTAGAACAATGAATATGTGTCCCCAGAACAATATAGTTTGCTTCATTTACAAATCTTCATTTGAATGATTTTTTCCAAGTAATATTTTTAATGATAGAATATACCTATGTAACAGATATTCTTAAAATTGCTAATATTTCTTGCATATTGATAGGCAGTTGCTATATCATTGATATATTAATTTCATACAATTCTGTAAAATTGACTTTATAACTTATTTTAACGCATTTTAATGATGTTTGAAAACAGGAATAACTGAAACATCTTTCAGATTCCAATGTACAAATCAGAAATAAATACTCTGGCTAACGAAGGAGAGTAGGGTGTGTGAGAAAGAGTCGAGAGTCCCGGCTTTAATCCTAGCTCTTCCAGCATCTCCTGGTGCATGGGAAAGACAGAGATTAGGGACCCACCAGAGTGGGTTGGGCCCTCCTTACGGAACAACTGAGCTGTGAAACATGGATCTGCTTTTTCCACTCCAATTCCTCCTTTCCATTCTTCTATCCCGTTTCCCTTCTGCTACGGTTGGAGTCTGAGACTCCGCCCAAATCTCATGTCAAATTATCATCCTCACTGTTGGAGGTGGAGCCTGGTGGGAGGTGATTGGATCATGGGGGTGGATTTGGTCTTTGGTGCTGTTCTCATAATAGAGTTCTCATGAGATCTGACTGTTGAAAAGTATGTGGTGGCATCTTCTCCCTTCCTCTCTACCTCCTTCTCTGGCTATGGTGCTGTTCTCGCGACAGCATTCTCATGAGATCTGATTGTTTAAAAGTGTGGCGTCTCCTCCTGCTCCCTCTCTGGCCATGTAAGACATACCTACTTCCCCTGTGCCTTCTGCCACGATTGTAAGTTTCCTGAGGCCTCCCCAGACATGCTTCCTGTACAGCCTGTGGAACTGTGGGTCAATTAAACCTCTTTTCTTTAT